CAATTGGCGAGGCTCTAGAAGAGATCGTCCTGGCCATGCGCTTGAATGTCGAGCTCTGCGATGCTTCGGAAAGAGTGGAGAAGCTGGAGTACAGGCCGGGAAGCTGTCTTCCGCAGGGCCCTCTCCAACACCAAGGGAAACCCGAGCACGCTGCTTGTGACAGTGGGAGACAGCCTCAACGCATGAAGCCTCAACGGCCCCACCGGCCACAACAGCTTTCCCTAAGTAAGTTTTCCCTAAGTAAGCCCTAAACTTTCTAAACCCCAAAAAACATCAAACCGCAAGACCCTAAACCCTCAACCCAGATCCACAACCCTAAACCCTGTAAGACCCTAAACGATCCAACCCTCAACCCTCCACCCTCTTGAAAGGGACATGATGCTGAACACCCTAAACACCAAAATACCCCAAACCCCGAGACCCTAAACCCTCAACCCAAATTCCCAAAACCTAAAACTTCTTGAAAGGGTTAGGGTTTATAGGGTTTAGGCTGTAGGGTCGCCCTCTTGAAAGGGACATGATAACCCTAAACCCTAAACCCTAAATCCTAAACCCTAAACCCTCTTGAAAGGGACATGATGATGATCATCGGCAAGGACAGCGACCTCTGAGTTCCTCATTCCCGGCTTTTTACGGGGAACGGGGGGGCGGCGGGGGAGGCGTTTGGCCTCGAACTCCGAGGCCTAGCAGACTAAACACAGTAGCGGTGATCCCTTGGGTTCCTTAGACCAACGTTATTAAAGTCTACTCTTATTGCATCTACGCCTGTATTTATATATACACATCTGTATATATATATATAGATATACATATACTTCTGTACATACGTGTATATACACACATATATTAATATATATATATATATATATATGTATGTATGTATGTATGTATGTATGTATGTATGTATGTATGTATGTATGTATGTATGTATGTATGTTTTTTTTAGATACATATATATATATATATCCTCGAAACCCTAAGCCCTACACCCCCCAACCCTAAACCCCAAATCCAAAACCCCTGCACCAAAGGGCACCAAGGGATTGCAATCCGAAGGCCTTGAGGCCGCATCTCCCAGCGCGGGTTTCCGGCCTCGGAAAAAGCGAGGGGGGTTTAGGGTTTCTGGGTAGGATTCAGGATTCAGGATTTGGGGTTTAGGATTTGGGGTTCAGGGTTTAGGGTTTAGGGTGTAGAGTAATTATAGGGTTTAGAGTTTAGGGTTTAGGGTCTAGGGTTTGGGGTTTAGGGTCTAGGGTGCCGTGCAGGGTCTGAGAGATGCCAAGAATCCCTGAATTGAAGCCTTTGCCCGTGATTTGAGGTAGGTAAGGGAGACCGGATCAAGGGATTTGCTCTCTGAGTGGCTGAAGAAGGAAGAATTATGGATTTTACTCCTATTACATGCCCCTAAAGCACTATTCCAACCTTGAAGACCCTTATATTCGGTTGCCTTTTTTCTTGCATACCGTTGGCCCAGTCTTGGACTTAAGCAGAGGGCCCAAGAAGAATCAGTAGAGTCAGCAGCTAGCTGGGGTGCTCATGTGGGAGTGCGGCCCCTGACCCTTGCAACACCGTATAAATCGCCCTAAACCTTATACAAGCCCCCAAACCCCTAATGTTCAGAACCGCCCCCGCAGGTACATGCCCAGCGAGGAGCTCGGCGGTGCATGTGGGCAGACTCGTTAGGCTATAGGCTTTTTGGGTATAGGCTTCAGCTTCTTAGGTGTATCGGGTTTTGGTGCTTGACCCTAAACTGCTAAACCCTTAACATCCCTAAACCCCTGAACCCCTAAAACCCTAAACCCCTAAACCCCTAAACCCTAACCCTAAACCCTAAACCCTAAAACCCTAAACCCCCTAAGCCCTTTAAACCCATCCCTGTTAGAACTAGAGGTTCTAAATTAGGCTAACCTATGCTCTTAGCCCTAAAGCCCGAAACCCTCAAGCCTAAACCCTAAAGCCCTAAACCCTGCACCCTAACCCTAAACCCCTAAACCCCCAAACCCTAAAACCCTAAACCCCTAAACCCTAAACCCCTCAACCTTTAGTCCCTCAACCCTGAAGCCTAAGACACGCCGAGTCCCCTGAGGTGGCAATCAGATTGCCTCGAAGGCCACCAGCCAATCGAAGGCCAGAGATGAGAATCTCGAAGAAAAGAGCTTGAAATAAAAGGGTTTAGGGTTTAGGGTTTAGGGTTTAGGGTTTAGGGTTTAGGGTTTAGGGTCATAAAAGGGGTTCAGGGTTCAGGGTTTTTTTTGCGGGGTTTGGGGTTTGGGGATTAGGGTTAAGGAGTCTTTTTGGGGTTTAGGGTTGAGGGCGTTATGTCGAGTTTGGGGTTTAGAAAACCAGAAGTAAGGAGCAGGGTTTAGGGTTTAAGGTAGAAGCCTGACGCTGAATCATTACCAATACTATTCCTTAGGGTTCCTTATTGTGATTGTGCTGCAATATATACGTCAAAACCCTATGCTAACCATTACAATAACGGCCCAATATTACCGGTCTTAAGACGCACGATGTTTTCAGGTTTGTGCAGATAGGGCTCCAGGTGCCGGTTTCAGGGTTTGATGTGAGGGTTTAGGGTTTAGGGTTTAGGGTTTAGGGTTCAGGGTTTAGGGTTTAGGGTTTAGGGTTTAGGGTTTAGGGTTCAGGGTTTAGGGTTTAGGGTTTAGGGTTTAGGGGTCAGGGTGGGGGTCTTTGGGGCTCAGGGTTGTGAATCCTCGATACTGAACTCCGGACCCCTAACAGGGCGGTAGGTTATGTCCGGCAGATCGCTTGGGGAAAGCTCCCGAAGTTGAGAAAGGCAGAGCTTAATAATCGCCTATATTATTTTGGGGGCTCCTTACCATAATTATAGTATATATTCAGGCCCCTACATTAAATTTTTCCTGCTGATGGGTAGCTGCCGTGCTCGGGTTCCTGTTTGGTCCTCAGAGTACCGCACAAAATCGCAGCAAGGACGCCCGGTAGACCCCCACTTTTGGAGGCCCTCATGATGAGAACAGGGCCCCGAATCCACCCTAAACCCTAAATTGCAAGACTCTGTAAGCTGCAAAGCACATAACCCAAAGGAACCCCTCTACTCTAAGCCCCTCGGTCCTTTCCCCCAGGCCCTAACCCACATCCTAAAGACACAACCCTAAACCCTAAACCCTAAACCCTAACCTGTATCCCCGAGGCCCCCTAAACCTGAGCTTTCAAGCCCAGTCCTGCTCTCTGCTGCTGGTCCGAAGGTTGCAAGCCCCGCGGAGCGAGATCCAGGCACTCTGTCTCTCTTTTTGGGCTTTAGGGTTTAGGGTTTAGGGGTTTAGGGTTTGTGTATGGGGTTTAGGGTTTAGGGGTTTAGGTTTGGGGTTTAGGGTTTTCTGAGGTTCAGGATACAGGGCTTTGGGGTTTAGTTTAGGTTTCGGCTCACGGCTTATGATGACCTCGGTCAGGGCCGGGTTCATGGTGTAGGGTTTATTTGTAGCTCTTACTACCAAGTATTTGATTGATTGAAGCCCTTATCGCTAGAAGTCTTATTGTCAAAACCAAGCCTTGCAAAGACCATGCCACAGTTTTATTTTATTCGCTTGTTTACACTCTCAATGAAACCCTGTAGAAGCCTCAGGGCTTACCTAGTCGTAGCACAGATCGATGAGCCCACCGAAAGCCTCCAAGCCCTTTTGATGCCGGAGGAGTACTCCCCGCACGATCGTAGGGCTTCTACTTCGGCGATCCTTCTTCTTATGGGAGTGTGGTGTTTGTGCGCAGTTGTGCTACCAAGCGCGTTATCTTTTGGGGTGTAAATGTTGGGGGGAAGCTTCCTAGGGCCCTCCGGAGGCACGGTTTCGGATCCCCATCGCCTGGAGAGTGAGTTTGGGAAGTTTGGGCTTTGGGGTTTCTGAACCTGGAGTGCTTACTACACCCTAAACCCTAAACCCTAAACCCTAAACCCTAGATTTGGGGCCTAGGGCTCACAGGCCTTCGGGTGTTGCATGCTGCAGGGTTGGGTTTGGGAAGCATGAGGGGCCTGCCTCGGCCCAAGTCCAAAAGAGAGACCTGTCGCCACATCCAAAGTCCTAAACCCCAAACCCTTTACCCCTAAACCCT